CGTCAGCCTGGCAGAGCCTTCCTGGATTTCAAAAACTCAGCCCGGTATCACCACCACCTCCTCAGGGAAGCTTTTTCTCCCCCAAGATGGTTTGCTTCCCTTTGGTGTCCCCACTGTACCCTTTTCGGTCACATATGTCGTTTTTCTCCCCTACTGGTTCCATCAATCCCTCTAGTGAGGACTTGGCATCTTTAAAGACCCAACACCTAGCATTGTGCCTGGCATTTAATATATGATTAAATGAATTGGGAAAAGAGAAGAGCAAAAGCTCTGTTTGCCCATCTGTGAAATGCGGCTAATCCTGTAGTGATGGGATGAGTTTACCGCCTTAGGCCATATTAACTGACCAGTAGGTGGCGCTGTGGCATATGAATTAAGGTTTCCTGGGTTCACAGGCCCCTCCTAGGGAGTGCAGGATGTCAGGGTTAATTAGAAACCTATGTCAGACTAATCAAATCTCCCCCAGAGGAGATAGCCCAGCGTGGTTCCTGTGCGCGGCAAGGACTGCGAAGCCTTGAAGGAGGGGTGGGCCAGTCCCCTCCCACTGTCCTTCCCAAGCGAGGCTCCGTGGAGTTAGGGACCCTCAGACACTTGGATCTGGGGCATCCTTGGACTCAAGGCCCTCAGAGGCCAAGCTGGAAGGGTTGGTTGATGTTGGTCAAGAGAATGACTTCGGAGCTGACCTGGCCTGGGTCTGAATGCCAGCATTCAGGTATTCAGTATTCAGATATTCTCTCCTGACCTGGAAAATGATTGGCTCTCATACCACACACCCTCTTTCTCCCCACTTGCCACCTATTTTTTAACTTTGTTTTTTTTTTTTTTTAATATATTTTATTGATTTTTTACAGAGAGGAAGGGAGAGAGAGAGAGAGAGTTAGAAACATCGATGAGAGAGAAACATCGATCAGCTGCCTCCTGCACACTCCCCACTGGAGATGTGCCCGCAACCAAGGTACATGCCCTTGACCGGAATCGAACCTGGGACCTTTCAGTCCGCAGACTGACGCTCTATCCACCGAGCCAAACCGGTTACGGCTTAACTTTGTTTTTATTTTCCTTTTTGGATTAAATCATTATTATTTACATTGTCTGACTTCATAAAAGCTATTCTCAACTGAACCATGTCATGCCCTATAATTACATTTCTCTCATTTTACTTTATTTTTATTTTTTTAAAATATATTGTATTGATTTTTTTACAGAGACGAAGGGAGGGGGAGAGGGATACAGAGTTAGAAACATCGATGAGAGAGAAACATCGATTCAGCTGCCTCTTGCACACCCCCTACTGGGGATGTGCCCGCAACCCAGGTACTTGCCCTTGACCGGAATTGAACCCGGGACCCTTCAGTCCACAGGCCAACCCTCTATCCACTGAGCCAAACTGGCAAGGGCTATACTACGTATTAAATTCACCTGTTGTCTACGTGTGATTGGCATTATTTCTTCCTTAAGTATTTGATAGAATTCATCAGAGAAGCGATTTACACCTAAGCTTTTCTTTGTGGAAAGACTTTTAATCAATCATTCAATTTCTTTTATCGTGATATGTCTATTCAGATTTTCCATTTCTTCTTGAGTCAATTTTGGTAATTTACCTTTTTAGGAATTTGGCCATTGTGCTTACGTTGTTCATTTTGTCCACATTTTCTTACAACTTTTTGTTTTCTGGAGTATCAATATCATTCAAATTTCTTTTATCGTGATATGTCTATTCAGCTTTTCCATTTCTTCTTGAGTCAATTTTGGTAATTTATCTTTCTAGGAATTTGGCCATTGTGCTTACGTTGTTCATTTTGTCGACATTTTCTTACAACTTTTTGTTTTCTGGAGTATCAATTGTGATGATGTCCCCTCTTTTCTTCCTGATTTGGGTAATTTTGTCTTTTCTTCCTTTTCTAGGTGTTTATTAAAAGAAAAGAAGCCCGGCTAGTGTGGCTAAGTTGGTTGCACTGAGAGGTCGCTGGTTCCATTCCCAGTCAGTTCACATGCCCGGGCTGCGGGCTCGATCTCCCATAGGGAGTGTGCAAGAGTCAGCTGATGGATTTATCACTTTCACATAGAAGTTACTCTCTCTCCCTCTCCCTAAAAATCAATAAAAATACTTTTTAAAAAGAAAATTTTATATTGTACACTCACAGCAACTTTATTGATAACAAAAGCTTAAAGCAGTTCAAATGTCCATCACTAGGAGAATGGAAATATGAAATACTACCAGCAATGAGAAACAAATAAGAACAACAAAAACAACCTACTGATACAGGCAACAACATGCAAGAATCTCACCGACATGATGTGAAGCAAAGGAATCCGGGCCTAAAGGTGTGCCTATTCTATGAGTCTGTGTGTATGAAATTCAGAACAAATAAAGCAAATCTATGCTGACAGAGACCAGAACGAGGTTGCTGCCCTGGCCAGGTAGCTCAGTGGGTTAGAGCATCGTCCAGATGTGCCAAGGATTCAGGTTTGATCTCCAGTCAGGGCACAAGGGCACATACAAGAATTAATCAATCAATGAATGCCTAAATGAGTGGAATAACAAATCGATGTCTGTTTCTGTCTCTCTCTCTCTAAAATAAATTTAAAAATAATACAATAAATATGTAAGGATTTCAGCCTTTTAAAAAAAGAAAGGACATTCTGACAAAAAAAAAAATAGAGAATGCTTATTGGGGAAATTTGCCTTACAAGAAAGGGGATATCCAAGTGCCCATCAGTAGGTGAGGGGATCAAAAAGCTGTGGTACCATTATTCCATGGAATACTATGCAGCAGTAAAAAAGAAGGATTTCTTACCCTTTGAGACAGCAATGGAGGGACCTGGAGAGTATCATGCTAAGTGAAATAAGCCAGTCAGAGAAAGACAAGTATCACATGATCTCACTCATATGTAGAATCAAGTAACAAAATACACTGATGAACAGAGTGGATCCAGAGCGCAGAATCTCAGAGGGAAGGCGGGGGAGGGTGGGTGTGCAGGCACATCCCCAGTGGGAGGTGTGCAGGAGGCAGCTGATTGATGTTTGTTTCTAACTTATCTCTCTCCCTTCCTCTCTGTAAAAAATCAATAAAAAATATATTAAAAAAAAGAAAAAAAAGAATTATTTTAAAAATAAAAATAAGTTAATGCACTAAACTCTAAAAATAATAAAATAAATAAATAAAAATACTATACAATATATTTTTAAAAAGCAGGGCGGGGGATACCCATTCTCAAAACCCATCCCAACCACACAGCAGGATCCTGTAAGAAGTCTGGACCCATGAGGAAATCTCATGTAAACTGAAGTGCAACGCCCTGGTGAGGGAGTCCCGCAGAGGATGTCATCCCTGCTTCACGCCACTGGGCCATGAGGCCCAGGGTTGGAAGTGACAACCCCAGTGTCATACAGAGTCTGGGTTAGAACCCAGGCCCTCAGATGTCTGGTCTGCTGTTTTATCCACCCTGACCTCCTCTTGCAGTGAGCCAGGGCCCCTCGAAAGTCGCTCCACCCCAGGCCCCAAAATATACTTTCCTACCACCTGTCCCAAGTGCCTGCATTGTGCTACGAGAGAGCTAGCCACATTGGTCATCCAAGCCCAGGGGCGGGAATTGCGTCCTTTGTTACCGTAGAGCAGGGCTGCGGAAATTGAACTCACGGGGCCAAGAGGTGGATTAAATCAGATCTTCACCAGCGTCTGGGAATGTGAAGACAAAGACTCCGGTTAGCTGGTACACACCACGCGCTTGCCGGGTGCCCTCGGACACGTCCCTTAGACACGCTGAGCCTAGCTTCCTCATCTACAACATGGGCACCGCGTCTCACAGGGTGGTTGTGACAATTACATGAACTCACATATGTGAACATGCATTGTCAGCTCTACAGGAAAGGTCACTGTTATTCAGCGCTGCTGGGATCTGGACGGATATGTTTGAGGTTGTCTGGTCGTGCTTTGCGGGAGTAGAAGCTCCTGAGGTCCTGGGTATTCGGGGGGACTTGCAACCCCCGGCTGGCTTCGGGGTCCTTGTGCCTGCCTGGCCCCACTCCCCAGTACCCACAATGACATCCATGTTCCATCAGCTTCCCCTGGAAGCCAAGCCCACTTGCATCTCAGCAAAGTTCCCAGGAGTTGACACCTGGCTCTTAGAGAGTGCCAGCCAGCCCAGGGGTCAGGGGTCGCACAAACTCCAGAAGGAAGAGGTAGTTGGCTGGCAAGGCTGTCCTTTGGCACGGCTGAATAACCTTTGATCCGCGCTGTGGGGAACGTGGACATTTGCCTGTGGCCTGCAAGACAACCCTTTATTTTCTAAGAAATGTGAGCCGTGGTGCGGATCTGCTTCAATATACTCTTGTCGGATTGTGCAGCCGTGGCCAGACCCCGAGCATCATGGCCATGTGCTGCCCCCTAACCACACCGCCTGTTTGTCTAGGGGCCAACCTGTTCCCTGCAGGACTCAAGTCAGCCAAGGGTGTCACATGCTCTCCTGCCTCTTGCCTTGCCTTCTCCTGGCCAGTAGTCACATGGGAGACCGTGGGGGAGGGAGGGGGTGACGGGGGGGCCCAGCCCCCACACTGCCCAGACAGACTCTCCTACAGCACCCTTTCCTCCCAGCCCACTTCCCTGAGCCTACGGCCCCGTGCCCACCCACCGATGGCACCTGTCTGGTGTACAGTTACCACCTGCCCATGTTTAATTCATGGCTGGGGGTTGGGACTAGCTTCCCAAGAAAGGAAAGAACTCCCCTGGGGTCTTGCCCAGTTCCTGCCCACACGCAGGGCACACGGCTGAGGCCCCAGCCTCCTGCCTGGGCTGGGGGCTGGGAGTGGAAGCCACTGATGGAGGACACTGTCCTGGCCAGGACACCGCCATCACTTGTTAATCCGCAGCCCTGGAATGTCTGTGGGCCAATCAGCAAGGTCTGCGAGGGCTCCCCGAGGGCTCTAAGAACCCTGCAATGATTAGCAGGGGCCACGGGGTCAGTGCACACCGCTTGGCTGGTAGGTCGGCTGTCGGAGGGGCGGCCGGGATTGCAGCTGTCTCTCCTTTTTCATGCCAGCCTGGATGGGAGGCTTGTTTGGACACAATGATTACTCACCAGCCTCCTCCTTTTGTCTGCCAGCCCAGCCTGACTCCTCGAGATTGTGAATAGCTCCGTCCAGCCTGTGAAGCGAGCTGGACGTGGACGGCGGAGCCAGGCTGCTCCCAGGTCGCCCTACGGACCCATGCTCCGGCTGGAGCCCTCCTCTGGCCTGGGGGGCCATGGGCCTGGCCTCCTGCCCGTGCTCCTGGCTCTCCTCTGCGTGGCCTGGGCAGAGGTGCGGCCGCTCCAGCTGCGGGGGGAGCAGGCTCCAATGCCCAGAGGTAAGGGGCCCTGGGTGAGGCAAGGTGGAGGAGCTATGGTGTGGCATAGGGGTCCTAGGGGGCTTCTAGAAGCTAGTTCGAGGCCTGAGTCCTGGGCAGGCTGATGTGGTCTAAAGAGCAACCCTCGGCCAGTCCAGGGGCCGAGATGAATGGGGGAGGCTGGGCCGGGGAGGAGGACGAATGAAGGGGAGTGGGCCCAGGCTTGGGGGTCAAGGAGGAACACAGCCTAGAGTTTGCAGTTGGGGCCCTAGGAGAACCACAGTGGCCAAGAGGAGTCGGAGCCAGGGGGCTTCTGGGAGCCCAGGGCTGGCGTCCTCCCCACACCCAACCCCCAGCCCCATTGCCCTCTATCTCGCCACTCCTAGCTCTCAGCCCAAGCTCCTTTACACCTGTCCTCTCACCCGACTCTTCTCCACCTCTTAGTCCCCCCATCGCTCTGCTCCGGGTCCTCCCACACATGCTCCTGTCCAGCCTTAGGTCTTGTTTCCTAAGGGCAGGATTGCATTCTCACCTTGCCGTGGTGACCCCACCCTATCAGCCAGGACACAGGCCCCGCCACTCAGGTGGCCCTGACCTTGTCTCCCCTCCCAGCCCTGAGCAGGAAAGAGGGTTTCCTGCTCCTCTCCCTGCACAACCGCCTGCGCAGCCGGGTGCACCCCCCTGCGGCCAACATGCAGAGACTGGTGAGTGCCCGGCCCAGGGCCCAGCTCACAGAGGGGGCGGCTGGAGGGGCAGTCCCCGAGAGGGCTCAGGAGGCCATGCTGGCACCAGGCGCCCTTCCACCTGAGCAGGGCAGAAGGGGCAGCCAGTCACCTTGCCCGTAGCGGGCCCGGCCTGGTTGCTGGGTCCTCCACGGCTTCCTGCTTCCCAGAAGGGCAGTCCTGTGGCCTTTCCTCACATCCCATCCCGTTGTCCTGGAGACCAGGAGGCATGGAAGGAGCTCACAAAGGAGTCCCAGCAGGATGGAGGGAGAAGCATCCTGCTCAGGGAGGGGCTTGTGTGGGGCCGGGACCCAGAGCTTGCTTCCTCACGGGCTGGTCTGGGTGAAGGGGCCCCTCCAAGTGCCCTGCTCATTCTCGGGGGCTGCGGAAGGCGGTGCAGGGTTTCCCATCAACCCTGACGGGGGCTCTGGGGTTGGAGGTGTCATCCTGGGGCCCAGAAACTCTGCCCCCACGGTGTGGGACCTCCGCTACCCCAGCCCCTGCTGACAGGCCTGGGAGCGAGGGAGGGGCAGGGTGGGAGCGGGCAGGGTTCCCCATGACTGCCTCCCACAAACTCCTCCTCCGCTGGCTGAGCACCGGTGACCTTGAGAGCTCCTGGGTCAGTTTCCCAGGAGGTGGGGGTGGGACAGGCAGATGGGAGGGGTCACTTCTCCCCCTTTCCCTGCGCTGCAGCGGCTCTGCCCCTCCTGCAGGCCCAGGTCCTGGCTCCCACTGCCCCTCCCCCTCCCCACACTCTGGTGGGAGGGCACCCCCCCCATCAGCTGTTTCTACACGTTTCATGCCCTCTTTGCCAAACTCTTAGAAAACAGCACTTCATAAAAGGTGCAAAAAGAAGTCCCCAGTCAGCCTCCCTCATACCTATGGCTTGGTCCTGGGCACCCCTGTGGGCTTCTACAGCTTTTTCCCGTGGGGTTGAGGCCCTGGGGGTGGCTCAGGGCTGCTGAGGGGCCCCAGTGGGCCCTGTTGCTCCCAGCTCTAGCCCCCATCAGCAGTAAAGTCACTATGGCCCCCTGCCCAGGGCCTGCTGTGAGTCAGGCCCTCAGCAATGCACTCTCCTCCCTGCATCTATTTATTTTACTTTATTTTTAAAAATATGTTTTTATTGATTTCAAAGAGGAAGGGAGAGGGAGAGAGAGATAGAAACATCCAGGATGAGAGAGAATCATGGATCAGCTGCCTCCTGCATGCCCCCTATTGGGGATCAAGCCCACAACCTGGGCATGTGCCCTGATTGGGAATTGAACCCTGACTTCCTGGTTCATAGGTCAACGCTCAACCACTGAGCCACGCCGGCTGGGCCCTGCACCCATTTAATCCTCACGACAATCTCAGCCTATAGGTCCCTTAGTGTTCCCATTTTACAGATGAGGATGTTGAGTCTTATGCAGGTTAGGGGACTGCCGGAGGTCACATAGCTGTGATGAGGTGTCTAGGTCAGTGATGGCGAACCTATGACACGCGTGTCAGAGGTGACATGCGAACTCATTTTTTTGGTTGATTTTTCTTTGTTAAATGGCATTTAAATATATAAAATAAATATCAAAAATATAAATCTTTGTTTTACTATGGTTGCAAATATCAAAAAATTTCTATATGTGACACGGCACCAGAGTTAAGTTAGGGTTTTTCAAAATGCTGACACGCCGAGCTCAAAAGGTTCGCCATCACTGGTCTAGGTGGACCAGGGCATGGCGACAGGATCATATACCTTATCCCGCCTGCAGAGGGCCTTGTTTCAGAGGAGGGGGTGCTGCAGGGCCGGGGTGCGGGGAGGTCAGCTGGTGCCTGGGTAGGGAGAGCAGATTACACCTGCTCCAGAAAACTCTGCTCTCTGGGACCAAAGCCCCTGGACCAGGAGACCTCCAACACCCTCGCTGGCCCCTTCCCTGTGGGTGCCCTACACACGCCAAGGCCGGGGTGGGGGAATAGGGTACAGAGGCCCTGTTGCTGCAGCTTTTGGCAACACAGAAGGGAAGCTGAGTGGGAGCAGCTGAGCATGGCCAGGGCCAGGGGTACCTCATGGCAAACACAGAACCAGTGTGAAAGGCGTGGGTCCTGCTAGGACTCACCTTCCCGGGTGGAAAAGGTTACTGCAGAAACCCATCCCATCGCCGGGGGTGACAGTCCTCCCTCCGGGGCACCTGTCCCCCCAGATGGTGGTGCCACGATCAGGGCTAAGGGTGCCCACAGGAGTCAGGAGGATGGAGGCTCCCAGTCCTGGGTGGAGCAGGCTCTGGGCTGGGGGTCCAGACAGCATCAGGGCCTTTCCCAACACACCTTGGAGCACTCTGTGCCGGTCCTATCTGACCTTCCCCGGCCCAGTGAACTGGGTAAAACCCGCTCAGAGTGGTCAGGCAGCCAAGCAGGACACCCGGCCCAGTGCTCTCTGCAACTAGCAACCCGGGAATGTGTGGGAGATGGCAAGGGAGGGCCCTGCTGATGTTTCTGTTTGTACTGCCCCCAGGACTGGAGTGAGAGCCTAGCCCGACAGGCTCAGGCCAGGGCAGCCCGCTGTGGCGCCCCGGCCCCAAGCCTGGTGCCCACTCCGGGGGCCACTTCCCAGGTGGGCTGGAATGTGCAGCTGCTGCCAGTGGGCTCGGCATCCTTCGTCCACGTGGTGGGCCTGTGGTTTGCAGAAGGCCAGCGGTACAGCCATGAGGTGGCGGAGTGTGCCCTCAATGCCACCTGCACCCATTACACTCAGGTGAGGCCAGGGTACGGGCTCAGGAGGGCTAGAGTTTGTCCTAAAATTAGTGGTTGCTTTTCCTCCAATTTGTGTGGTTTTACTTTTTAAAAAAATGTATTTTTGTTGATTTCAGAGAAGAAGGGAGAGGGAGAGAAAGATAGAAACATCAATGATGAGAGAGAATCATTGATCGGCTGCCTCCTGCACACCCCACACTGGGGATCAAGGCTGCCACCCAGGCATGTGCTCTGACTGGGAATCCAACTGTGACCTCCTAGTTCATAGGTTGACACTCAACCACTGAGCCACGCTGGCCGGGCGGTTTTACTTTTTTCAGGGCACATACGTAGGTTGTGGGTTTGATCCCTGGTTGGGGTGCGAACAGGAGGCCACTGATTGATGATTCTCTCTCTCTCTCTCCCTTCCTGTCTCTCTCAAAATCAATTAAAAGATATCCTTGGGTGAGGATTATAAGTTTCATTACAGAAAATATTAAACATATACAAAATGGTCAGAATAATTAATGGACCCCCATGTACCCGTCACCCAGCTTCAACAATTATCAGCTCATGGTTTCATGGCTCATCTTCTTTCATCTATATCAGCGGTTCTCAACCTGTGGGTCGCAACCCCTTTGGGGGGTCGAACGACCCTTTCACAGGGGTCGCCTAAGACCATCGGAAAACACATATATAATTACATATTGTTTTTGTGATTAATCACTATGCTTTAATTATGTTCAATTTGTAACAATGAAAATACATCTTGCATATCAGATATTTACATTATGATTCATAACAGTAGCAAAATTCCAGTGATGAAGTAGCAACGAAAATAATTTTATGGTTGGGGTTCACCACAACATGAGGAACTGTATTAAAGGGTCTTGGCATTAGGGAGGTTGAGAACCACTGAGTTAGATGGTGACAGTGAGAAAACAAATACTTCATAGTTGTTCATTATTTAACAGAGATTTTTAAAACTAGAATTAAACAGAGATTTTAAAGTATTTACTGTGTAGCTAACGTCCTCTTAAAGGTCCCACATTTCCTTGTGCCTCCTCTCTTTTAGTCTTGACCAGTTTCCCCAGAGGTTTCTCTATTTGAACAAATCAGCTTTTTCTTTCTCTTCATTTTAAAATGTTCATTCATTTCTGTTACTGTTTTTATTTTCTTTCTTCTATTTTATTTGACTTACTCTATTATCTCTTTTTATATTCGTGATATGGGTTCTTAGCTCATTAATTTTAAGTATTTTTCATTACTGCTTTATGCATTCAAAGCTATAGATTTCCCCCTAAACTTTGCTAGCCACATCCTATAAGTTTGATGGTGTTTTCATTGTCATTTAAGTTCTAAATGTTTCCTATTTTCCATCATGATGTTGCCTTTGATTTTTAAATGTATATTTAAATTTCCAAACTATGCTTTCTTCTTTACTTACTTCTAAATTACTTACTCTGGATTTTATTGCATAGAAGTCATAGAACATGGCCTATAGGATATTGATTCTTTGGTAATAGATGAATCTTGCTTTGTGGTTTACTGAGGGGTCAACGTTTGGAAAAATTCCATGAATTCCTAAAAAGAATGCATATTCTACCCAGCCGGTGTGGCTCAGTAGTTGAACGTCGATTTATGAACCAGGAGGTCATAATTGGATTCCCAGTCAGGGCACATGCCCAGGTTGTGGGCTCAATCCCCAGTAGCGGGCATGCAGGAGGCAGCCGATCAATGGCTCTCATAGATGTTTCTATCTCTCTCATCGTTGATGTTTCTCTCTCTCCTTCTTCCTTCCTCTTTAAATATATATATTTTTAAAAATGCAAATTCTTTAATTGTTGGACACATATGTATGGCCACATGTTCATCTCTCCCTGCCTCATACCTGTCTTTTGTTTGTTTGTTCGTTTGTTTGTTAATCCTCACTCAAGGATATTCTTTCATTGATTCTCAGGGAGAGTGGAAGAGAAAGGGAAAGACAGAGAGAAAAACTGATGTGAGAGAAACACATTGATTGATTGCCTCTTGCATGAGCCCTGACCAGGGCCCAGGCCGGGGAGGAGCCTGCAACCAAGGCATGTGCCCTTGACCGGAATCAAATCTGGGACCCTTTGGTCCTTAGGCCAATGCTCTATCTACTGAGCCAAACCAGCTAGGGCCATACCTGTCATTTTTAATGGCTACCAATTTGCTTAGCTCTTCCTGTGTTTTGACCATTTGTTCTATTTCCACATTGTCACTGATTCTAAAACTTTAAATCTAAGTTTTGAATACTGTTAACAACCTGTATCCATTAGCTTTTGATGCACACACACTCCCAATGTAGCATCTTACATTCTGTAGGTGGACAATTTGGTTGGGGATCAGCTGGGAGGTTCTTCTGGTCTTGGCTGGACCCACTCATGCAACTCAATCAGCTGTGGGGTTGGCAGAAGCTGGCTGTCTAGAGTGGCTCTAACTGGCTCCTCTCCGCCCTCGGAGGTCTTTCAGCCTCCAGGAGGCTTGCTCAAGTGGTGGCTTGAGCACGGTGTTATGAGAGTGAGTAGAAATTGCAGGGTCCCCTAAGGCCTAGGTTCAAAACTGGCTCAATATCACCTCTGCTGCAAGCCACAGGGCCAACCAGACTCAGGGTGTGGGAAAGAGAGTCCTTCTCTCGATACAAAGAACTGCAGAGCCACATTTAAAACGGAGCTGGAGCGAGAAGTGCGGCCGTTTTTGCAATCTGCCACGAGGTTTTCATGTCCAAGTCTGTCTGTAGCATCTCTCCTGCCCCCATCCACAATCTCCCCTCCTTTCAGGTGTCTGCCTGCCCTCACCCTCCACTCCCCCGAACACCCACACAGCCTTCCTAGACTATTCCCCCCCATCCGTACAGCCCTGCGCATCACAGCTGCTACTCTTGAGGCCCCCAGGGAGGTGAGGGAGCTGCCTGCCTGCCTCGTTTGGGGCCAGAGCTATGCTCTCCCTCCCAGTGAGCATCACCTGTGCTGCTGGCCCCAGTCTGGGGGTGGCCCAATCGGACTTCTGAGCCACTGTGTCTCCCACAGCTCGTGTGGGCCACCTCGAGCCAGCTGGGCTGTGGGCAACATCCCTGCTCTGGGGACCAGGCCGAGATGGAAGCCTTTGTCTGTGCCTACTCTCCTGGGTAAGCCTCCGCCACTCCTGGGCTGTCAGCTGGGGTGAGGATACTTTCCCCCTGGGAGAGGCGTCTACCCACTCACCCAAAAGGCCTTTACCTCTAGATCTCCACCCTGTGGGAGAGGGACGAAGGGGTAAGGGATTGGGTGCAGAGGTGGCAGCACCCATGGTCCTGGCCATGCAGGATGTGCAGTCCCCTCGGATGCCTCCTCCTGGAAGCACTCCCTGCTTGCAGGAGATTTCCCAGGATTCCTTGGGAGGCCCTCTCTTCTCTTCTAGGAATTCTCCCCGTCTCACCCAGCTCCCCGACCCCCTGGCTGAGCTGAGGGGCGGATGGGGCAGGCAGATGGCCAGGTCCTTCCAGCCCCCTCTGGTGCTTGCTCCCACAGAGGCAATTGGGAGGTCAACGGGCAGACAATCGTCCCCTATAAGAAGGGCGCCTGGTGTTCGCTCTGCACGGCCAGCGTCTCGGGCTGCTTCAAAGCCTGGGACCATGCAGGGGGGCTCTGTGGTAAGTGCCCCATACCTGCTTCCCCCCGTGGGAGCGGGTATCGGAGAGCTTGATGGGTGATTAGAGGAAGTGGCAGCGTCCTGAGGGGCTGTCCCAGAAGCCTGGGCCCAGCACCCAGGAGGCACCTGCCTGGAGGAAGCCCCTTTCAGAGGTCCCTGCTTATCTGACCAGAGGTCCCCAGGAACCCATGTCGCATGAGCTGCCGGAACGGCGGACATCTCAACGTCAGCACCTGCCACTGCCACTGTCCCCCCGGCTACACGGGCAGGTTCTGCCAAGGTGAGGAGCCCTGGAGTTGCAGACCACAGCGGCCTGAGGGACCCAGCGAGGGGAGTCCAGGCCTGGCACACCCGCAGGCAGCCCCTGGGGGTGAGGAGGGGCTGAGCCCAATGCATGTGGGCGCATGCGTGCACACAGACGCTGTGTGGTGTGTCCAGGGGCTGTGTTGCACTCAATGAATGCGTTTTGAGGGAGTATCAAGTGTGCTAAGGGGGTGCTTGCTGATCTGAGCACTGCATATCATCATTCAACAAGCATCCATTGAGCACCGACTGTCTGCAAGACCCTGAGCTGCACAGAGGGTTCAAATCAGAATCAGGAGTGGCCCCATACATCCTGAGGTGGTGGAAGACAGAATTAGGATTCAGAGGTGGATTCCTCTCCCGTTGTCTCCCGCCCCAGCTCTGTGACCACGGGCAGGTCACTTCCCCAACCCCAATTTGCTTCTCTCTACCTGATCAAACCAAAGATGCCAAGAGGGGCAGCAGTTGGGAGCCCTGTGGCTTCCGTCCCTGAGTCCCTGAGAGGGGATCTCTCTGTGGTTGACCAGTCCCTGCATGTCCGCAGCCTGGCCTGTGAGGGGCAGCACGGGGTCCAGGCTTGTGGCTGAGCGCAGGCCCCCCCCCCCCCCCCCCCCCCGCCCGCCCCCCCCCCCCGCCCCGCCCCGTCCTGCAGTGCGGTGCAGCATGCAGTGCGTGCATGGCCGGTTCCGGGAAGAGGAGTGCTCCTGCGTCTGTGACATCGGCTACGGGGGAGCCCAGTGTGCCAGTGAGTCCTGACCCAAGGCCCCCAACAAGCCGGGCCCTCCCAGGATCCCCTAGATAGGGTGCTGGATCTGGGCCACCTCACAACTGCCTGTTGCACACATCTCTTTCCAGTTCCATGTTCAGTGATATTGGTAGCTTGAAATGGGCCGTGGTATGGGTATTTACACCATGGGAATTGGCAAATGCTACAAACCATATATTGATTTATTTATTTTTTGAGGCGGAGAGCTGGCTGTTACACATTTACCAGCACACCACTGACCCCACCCACTCTCCGGAGGGTGGTACCTTGAGCTCAGCTCCCTGGCAGGGTGGGAGGGGTGATGATTTTGACGAGAGATGCTTACACACAAACTCACGCTCCCTCTCCCCAGCCAAGGTGCACTTTCCCTTCCACACCTGTGACCTGAGGATCGATGGCGACTGCTTCATGGTGTCTCCAGAGGCAGACACCTATTACGGAGCCAAGATGAAATGCCAGGTGACAGCTGGCCCCTGCCTTCCCGGGAAGCCCCTCCCCTCTAGGGTCGCAAGGACTAAGGAGGGATCCTGGACTGAGATGGTTCCTTCGACACCTTCTCATCATTAGCATAAAGCAGGGGTCCACTCAGAGGCCCACGGAAACCAAGAGGTCACATACTGAGCTGAGGGACCAGGAGCGAGGCCCCCACCCAACCCCCATCTAAGGAGCTGTCCTGACTCAGCTCCAGCTGCTGGCTGCCAACAGGGATACGAATCGGGGAGGCCAGAACTCGGGATTTTTCAGAACCAGAAATCCAGATTTTCATTGGCATCTCTAGACTTATTAATGTTGGCGGCCAACTCAAATTGTGTAAGGCACTGAGCAAGTAAACCAAAAGCCTTCCAGTGGCAAGACCCTGCCAGGCTGGGCCCCGGCGCAGGCAGGGGAGAGGGAGGGGGACCCCTCGTCTAAGAGGCAGGAGGCTGTGGGGTGGGGGACGAGGACAGCACAGCCAGCACACGCACTTGTCACTCATGGCCGCGGTGGGGTGGCAGGAAGGGCTGCCTGAGCTCTGGGTCCCTGCCGGCATGACCCAGAGTGGGGGTTACAGGGAAAGGGCGGGGTCCTCGCCCAGATCGAGAGCCAGAAAGTACAGGACATCCTCGCCTTCTACCTGGGCCGCCTGGAGACCACCAACGAGGTGACTGACAGCGACTTTGAGACCAGGAACTTCTGGATCGGTGAGTGTGGGGGCTGGGATGCCCCCAGGAATCTGGGCCGTGGAAACCAGAGCACCCACCAGCAGACAGTCAGGCTGGGGTGAAGGCTTGGAGCCCAATGGGGCCGGCAGTCAGGCTGGCTCCCCCTGCCCCGGGGAGAGAGCGGCAGGGAGAGAGAACCACCAGGGGAGCGCGAGGGCTGGGGAGGGGCCGAAGGGCAGGGACCAGGCAGGCAGGAGGCAGCAGGCTGAGGCTCCGGCCCTCCTTTCTCGGGTCGTGGGCCAACCTTGACCGCCCGGCCCAGGGCTCACCTACAAGACCACTAAGGACGCCTTCCGCTGGAACACCGGGGAGCACCAGTCCTTCACCAGCTTTGCTGGCAGGCAGGAGGCAGGAGGCAGCAGGCTGAGGCTCCGGCCCTCCTTTCTCGGGTCGTGGGCCAACCTTGACCGCCCGGCCCAGGGCTCACCTACAAGACCGCTAAGGACGCCTTCCGCTGGAACACCGGGGAGCACCAGTCCTTCACCAGCTTTGCCTTTGGGCAGCCTGACAACCAGGGGTGAGTCTGGGGTGCCCTCCCTGCCTGGGCCCACCTTCTCCCCGGGGCCTGCTCACTAAGCCTTGAGATGCCATTGAAGAGCCTCCCCCAGCCTGCTGCCTGGCCGAGCCCTCTGAGGGTCTGAGCCTCCCCTGCTACCCGGTGCCCAGGAGGTCAGGGAGGGCACAGCTGGGTGTGGGCATGGTGCTGAGATGAGGCATGCTCCAGGGAACCCAGGAAGGCTTTGTCCGTCCACCCATCCCCATGGTCCCCTCCATCTATCGTCCGTTCCCCCTCCCCAGCCCTGTGTCTGTAGCAACACACTGATTCCCGGATTCTGTAGCCATCCACCTGCCTGCATCCATTCACACAGCATCCACCCACCAGCAGCCTGTACGGAGGGCCTTCGGGTTATGTGGCCCCGCCCTGGTCTTCAGAGCCTAGGAATGCCCAGGGCGGGGGTGACGGGGTGGAGGTGGTCAGGCTGTGTGGCCACGCAGAGCTCCAACTATCTCACCCAGAGCCCCCTCGACCTCCTAACGGCAGCCAGATCTATGCCCCTGGCCCATCAGGAAGGCAGCCTGGCTGGGCTCCCAGGCACACGCTCCCTCCCAGGAGGGAGGGCCTGCCTGTTCCAGGTCCGCTCCCCACCCCGTTGGCTGGTGTGGCTGATGTGGTTGGTGTGGCCGGTGTGGCCGGTGTGGCTGGTGTGGCTGATGTGGTTGGTGTGGCCGGTGTGGCTGGTGTGGCCAGTGTGGCCGGCGTCGCTGGTGTGGCTGAGTGCCGGCAGTGGGTAGGTGGAGTTGCTGCCCCAGGCAGGCGGTGGGCCAGGACCTCCCGGCTCCCCTGAGAAGCACTGTAGTGGTCGGGGGCAGGGATGAGAGCTTGGGTTGGTCTGGCTCCCAGAAGCCTCATATACAGGCCAGATGCACCGAGGCCTCTTACATGCAGGTGGCCTGTGGGGGAGGAGGATCTGAAACTCCCAGACTCCTAACATCCCACCTGAGCACCCGACATCTTGGCCCAGCAGGTTTGGCAACTGCGTGGAGCTGCAGGCCTCGGCCGCCTTCAACTGGAACGACCAACGCTGTAAAACCCGAAACCGCTACATCTGCCAGTTTGGTGAGGGCCCTCCTGGCTCCCCTCCCGTGGTGCCTGTCCCCGGGGGTGGCTGCTGGCCAGATCCAGGCGCCTGGATACACAGATCTCAGGCCTAGAGAGCGTCTGAGCTCACAGGGCCTTGGAGGACGCCCAGCAGGGAAGGTGGGCCAGCCTCACACCCCACGTCCACCCGCGGCAGGACCAAGTACACCCTGTCGGGGGTTTCTCCAAGGTCCCTTCCTCCTGTCACTAGAGCTGCTATTTGGGGGCCTGTCGGGTTCCTCGATGTTACCTGATTCTCTAGAGCCCAGTGGTGGGGGGCAGAGGTGAAGCCAAGCCCAGAATCGGCTCCCAGCAGCGCCTGCTGGGAGGGTCCTGAGCTACACAGGGGATCACGGCCCTGGGTGCTTCTGGACTTGGTGCAGCGGGTCCCCATCCCAGGGTGCCCTGGGCTGCCAGGGACCCTTGCTCTGTTCTGCTTCCTTCCCAGCTCAGGAGCACATTTCCTGGTGGGACCCAGGGCCCTGAGGCGCTGTCAGGCCTCTCCCCTGCCACTGCCTGGAGGCGCACCAGCCCTGCCTGCCTGCCCATCGGTCCGGAACCCGGGCCAGGCCAGGACCTCAAGCCCAAAGAGGTCTCAGACCTTACAGGAAGTGGAGCAGGCCCAACAGGAAGCCTGGCATAGGGGGACGGGCCCCTCAGCCTGCTTTTGATTGGGGAGATGGGCCTTAATTAGGTGCTGAAACCGGAGCAAGGCCAGGGGTCAGATGAGGCCGCTCTTCTCCATCTGGGATGGACCCTCTGGGGCAGATGGAGGTCCCTCGCTGCCCAGGATGCACCCCACAAGAGATTAAACTAAGTTATGAAACAGCCAAACTTGTGAATGCTCCTTCTGAAGGGGATTCAGATGAGCCGGGAGGTCCCTGGGAGACCACAGAGCCCGAGGCTCCACTGCCGCTGCCTCCTGCCGGCCTAGTCCCTTCCCTGCTCACCTGAGTGATGTTCTCAGGCTCTTAGCCCCTGAATAACGCACAGATTTAGAAGGCTCATGCGTGTCCCTCATGTCCTGCTCCAGCTCCTCTCAACGGCCTCTGTGGCTTTGTGTGTCGATCACACCCTCTCCCTTTATTCTCTTTGCAACTCCACGTGTATCTTTTTTCTTTGTGATTATCTCCACCGGGGTCTCTGTCGCCCTGTCGCCCTCCTCTCCCCGCAGTGGTGCCAAGACCCACGCAGGCACTGCCGTTCGGGTCCAGAATGTTCCACGGCCCATGGGCACACTGCCCTGTGCCCACGTAGATTTGCTTTTCTGGTTGGAGGTCGAAGTGTGGCCTGGGACCATGGATGGGGAGAAGTGTATCCGTCACAATTCTTAGTTGCAACCAATAGAAACAGCCCTGGCTAATCCTGGCAGAAAAAGAATGTACCCTAAGGACAGTGATTTAGAAATGGGTGCAGGACTTGCATAGGTAGTTCTCCAAAATGATAGACGAAGATGTTCAACATCACTAGCCATTCGGAAATCCAAACCAAAACCACAAGGAGACACCACTTCACACCCATTAGGGTGGATGTTTCCAAAGAAACAGGCAATCACAAGGGTTAGTGACGATGTGGACCAACGGGAACCCCCATGCACTGCTGGTGGGACTGTAACATGGTGCAGCCACTGAGAAAAATAGGTCAGCAATTCCTCAAAAGTTCAACGCAAAGACCATATGACCCAGCAATTCCACTCCTAGGTACGTACGCAAGAGAATTGAGAACAAGAAAATCCCTATACACAAAGCTTGTAGCAGCATTGTTCACGATAGCCAAACGTAGAAAAGTCCCAAATGTCACCAATAGATGAATACATAAGAAAACTGTGGCCCAGCTGGTGTGGCTCAGTGGTGGAGCATCAACCCATGAACCAAGAGGTCGCCGGTTCCAGTCAGGGCACATGCCCGAGTTGTAGTGGGGGGCGTGCGGGAGGCAGCCGATCAATTATTCTTTCTCATCAATGTTTCTATCTCTCTATCCCACTCCCTTCCTCTCTTTCTAAAAATCAACAAAAACATATTTAAAGAAAATTGTGGCATATATATATAATGAAATCCTATCCAGCCATTAAAAGGAATTAAGTACTGACACATACCCCAGGTGGATGAACCTTAAAAACGTATTTTAAGTGAAAGAAGCTAATCACAACAGGTCACATCTTGCATTATTCCACTTATATGAAATATTCAGAACAGGAAAATCCACTGAAATAAAGAGGCCGGAGCTGAAACCGGTTTGGCTCAGTGGATAGAGCATCAGCCTGCGGACTGAAGGGTCCCAGGTTCAATTCCGGTCAAGGGCATGTACCTGGGTTGCGGGCACATCCCCAGTGGGAGGTGTGCAGGAGGCAGCTGATCGATGTTTCTCTCTCATCGATGTTTCTAACTCTCTATCCCTCTCCCTTCCTTTCTGTAAAAAATCAATAAAAAAAGAAAAGAAAAAGAGGCCAGAGAATGGGAATAGCTGCCTAGTGGGTACAGATTTTACGTCAGAACGATGAAAACGCTGTAGGACTTAAGTAAATGTGGAACTTAGGTAAATCTCAGCTTTGTGAATGTACCAAATGCCACCATATTGATTTCATGTTACAAAAATTTCACCTCAATTTAAAAACAAAAAAGGATAATGATTGGTCGCAGGATCCCGGGGAGGGTCAGAGAGCCAGGCTGGGTGTCTCTGTGGCCAGAAATAGTGGCCCAGATTCTGCTGCACAGCCCGTCTGGGGACTCCCGTCACCTGCTGCAGGCACGGGAATGCAGAGTGGACTCCAGCAACCGCGACTCTGGCGCCACCTTGTGGCAGCCCCACCTCTGCTGCGGCTCGGACACTGGCAGTCCAGTGCCCCTTGGAGCCACAACCGCACGTCCCTCAGTGCCACGGCAAAGGACTCACCTGTGGGGCCATCTCAGGGTTCGTGGGTGGAGGTGGCCGTCAGCTGGTCCTACCTGAAAAGTCCGTGGCAACCTTGGGCACGTCAGCATAATGCGTGGTTCTCCACGTCCGTCCGCCGGCCAGTAGCATCCGCATCACCTGGGAGCAGGTGAGAAAAGCAAATTCTCAGCTGCCCCAAACCTAGCTTTGTCCCGGGGAAACTCTGATGGCGAGGAGGGTTTTCTCCTCAGCTACTTCACACGCGGGCTCTGGCTCGAGAACCACTGGCAGAGAGAGGCAAAGAGCTTGAGTCTAAAGTCAAACCACCTGAAGTTGAGGCCACGCTCTGCCACTTACTGTCTGACTCTGGCCCGTTACTTAACACCAAGGGGGACCAGTTGTCCCAGTTTGCCCGGAACTTTCCCAGTTTGTGCATTCAAAGTCCCACATGCTGGGAAACCCCTCCGTCCCAAGCAAACCAAGGCAGTTGGTCACCCTAAAACAGTAGTTCTCAACCTGTGGGTCGCGACCCCTTTGGCGGTCGAACGACCCTTTCACAGGGGTCGCCTAAGACCATCCTGCATATCAGATATTTACAGTACGATTCATAACAGTAGCAACATTACAGTTATGAAGTAGCAACGAAAATAATTTTATGGTTGGGTCACAACATGAGGAACTGTATTTAAAGGGTCATTACTATTCATAACAGTAGGAACATTACAGTTATGAAGTAGCAACGAAAATAATTTTATGGTTGGGTCACAACATGAGGAACTGTATTTAAAGGGCCAGAAGGTTGAGAACCACTGCCCTAAAACATCTCTGCCTCGTGTCCTTCTGTAAAAGGAGGACAAGAAAATGAGTGAGTACATTAAAGTGTTTGGAACAGTGCCTGGTGAGGCAACACTGATGACTGTTAGCCATCGAAACTTCATTTGTTAACTAAATACATTTTAAATAAGAACAGTGCTTAGAACTGTGCCTGGTGGATAGCAAATGCTCAATAAGTCTTAGCTATTCTCCTTCTCCTTCTAATGACCTAGTAGCCAATATTATTTTATCACAATTGAGTCCGTTTCAAGCAACCGTCAGAGCAAACAACAGAACCATCCCAGCTACTCAAGCCAGCTCCGTAGAATCCTAGGTACCAATATAGTCAACCCCACTGATGTTATTTTCTTCCTTCCCCAGAATCCATTCCTGGGTCACTTTGCCAGTATCAATTAGCAAAATCTGTTCTTCTGGCGATTCAATCCTCATCCCAGATTGGAAGTCACTGGCCCCCTGGAGCCTGCAGGGATCTGAGCTGTTATTTCAGTCTGGAGACAATGGAGGGTGGTGGGGTAGGGCACACAGGGGAATGCTAGCTGCTGGCCATGGTCGCACATGTGCAGTGGGGGACAGGGGAGCCCAGGCCGAGCAAGGCCCTGTCACCTGCCGCACCTGGCTTCCCGCGTACCCAGGGCATTCGCATTCAGGTGGTCAACTGGGGGGGCAGAGGGTGGACGCTCGCTCGGGGGATGCTACGGGCCTGGAAGTGGTGCACATCCCACCCACCCATAGCCACTGGCCACCCCTCAGCCGTGCAGCACACTAACTACAAGGGGGGTTGGGAAACTCCAGCTAGATGTGTGCCCAGGAGGGAAGGGATGTGGGTTTGACAAAGAGCTGGTGAGTTTCTGCCACCAGGACCTTCAGAATGACCAAGAGGAGTCACTTTGGCCAGTAGGGGGTGGGGGGGCTCCGTGCGGGAGGGGGTAACCAAGTCCCCCACACCTTCCCACAGAGCCCCATTCGGATGGCCTCTGTTCTCCACTCTTTCCTGATTAGAGACCTAGCAAGGGTGTGAGGCTACCTGATGGTGTCATTTTATAACCGCTGATCAAGCTTTACGTCTGGTTTGCTCTCTCAGCCTTTCAGTTAGTTGCAAGTTGCAAAAATCCCCTGGTTTTCTAACCATGCCTTGAGCTGAGAATGTGGACGGTGAACTTGTCTATCTGTCCTTTAAGCTGTGCGGTGCCGTTAGCACAACACCCTGCCCAGCAGCCCTTGACTTCAGGGTTATCTTTATCCTCTTCTATGGCAGGAGGCACCAGGCCCCTAAAGCCTTGCCTTTGATGGGTACTTTGTTTGGGGGCACAGGATTAACTGCCTTACCACGCAGGCCATGGGCTGCTGGCGTTCTGTCCTTTAATCCGAGCTGGATTTTCACTGTCTGACCACCTGCCAGCCTTACATCACCCCCCACCCCTCAGGGCTTCCTGCTCCATCCACTCCTAGTTCTATTTTTGTTTCAATCAAGGTTCTTAGTTTTAAGCAACAGAAACAGGTTCTGGAGACTCTATGCAGAAAAGGAATTCGTTGAAGATACTGGTTAGTTCACAGGAGACCCAGAACGTCGGAGGGTCAGATCTGAAAGCGACCTATTGCCTCTGCTGGGCACACACACCACAGTCAGCCCACCAGTGAGGGACAGAGGTCCAAGCACCTTTGAAAGCTGGGGTGTGGCTGCTGCCACTGCTGAGAGGTGCTTCTTCCCATCAACAGCTTTCATTCAAAGTTGGGCGTGTGGGTCTGATTGGAGTGACCAGGTGATGTGCCAAGGCCCTAGCTGCAAGGGAGGCTGGGAAAGGGAGGCAGAAATGGGGCATTTTTAGCTTCTTTCATGGGAGGAAGGTTCTGTCTCAAAGCTGGGGATTCCTCTAATGCAGGAGGGGGCTCAGATGTGGAGTGGCCAAAAGAATGATTCATGTTTACTGCAAGAAGCCACCTGGTGTGCAGTCAGTACTCCAGCCTACAATGCTGACCTGGTCAGCCCCATGCTCTAGCCAGGGGCCTCACCAGCCATTGGGCTCTGTGCAGGGTAGAGCAGGTAACGAGCAGCCCTGTGCAATGGCAGCATGGCCTGGAGGTGCCAACAGAACCAGGCTCTGCTTGTAGCTGCGTATCTTGGA